TCAGACAAATGGAGTGGCCACAAGCCCCATAGACCACCAAAAGAGTCAGTGTCCGTGTAGGCATGCCCGACATGTCCTATAAATAGACCACCCATACAAAGCCTACACTACACCGTAAGGCTAGAACATGCTATGAGAACCACGCCTGAATTCGACTCCTTGGGAGCCTCTGATGCGCTTGCCTGGCTCGCTTTTCCCTCACCTGTCGATGCCATCACCAACCCAGAGACCCCAAGCATGCAACATCTCCTCAATTGCGTTTGGCATTGATCTGCCGTCACCGCCTCCAGCCTGCTTCTTGCTCGACCTGCCTGCGTACCCGAGTCAAGATGGTTCAGGATTTAGTGGGGGGGGGTTGGATTCACTGGGTACAAAAAACAACTCACTCTCTCTCTCTCTCTCTCCCAGTCGCGCTCTCTTCTTCTTCTTCTACTTCTACGGGGCTACACCCCGTGCACTGGGCGCGCCCAGAACACGCGGATCCGTCTGGTCAGGTCGGCGTGAAACTGAAAACGTCAGGGGAAAACAATCAGAAGTGGCAAGTTCCCCCTGCTGGCTGAAACAACCGAAAAGTTGCGTGCCCGGAGTGGTTCTCTCTCTGCCAGCTAACACGAAGCTGTGAAGCACGAAGCAGGCGCATTTCTTCTGGCGATAAACAAAAACGCTCAGGCTTCAAAAAACTATGCAAGCTTGAGCCTTTTGTGTATAAAAAGCACACGACATCAAACTGAGCGCCCTATTGCACGAACAAAAATCTCAGCTTAGAAGTAAATCACAGGCTTGCGGCTTCCGCCAACGAATTTTGAAGGCCTTATACAACCCCTGCACAGAACGGATCTAACGGCCTGCACCGCTGCGTGCGGCGACATCAAAGGCACCATCACAGCCACCAAGACAATGCGTGAGCCATGTCCGGGTCCCCAACTTGAACCACAATGTGCTTATGCCTTCAGGTGCCTTCCCAAGCCCAACTTCATCAAACGCAACAGCACTTGGCGCAGCATCTTTTGCAAAGCAGCCTAAAACCCACCCAGGATGTTTTGACAAAGGTTGAGAGGGTCACTTTGCAAGGCCTTCTCTAGGCCTCACCGATGCTTGAAGCACTTGTTGAAAGACCGAGCTTGGGAAGAATCACCACGCCAGCAGGATTCCGATCTTTCAGCAAGCCTCAGTTGGCGGTTCCACCTTATCGGGGCAAGCAACTCGAAGAGAGCCAGCAGCAAGTCGCCGCACCCCCCCAAACAGCGGGAACTTGAGCTCAAGGTGATCCGAGGCCGACAGCACGACCATGAGGTCCACGAAGCAGTCGATGGCATTCAGTGGCCCCCACCACATCAGCTGCCATCAGCACAACACGACCATGCCATTGCAGCCGCAGCCAAGAGAAGCACGACTTGGAAAGCGGACGAAGCCAAGGTAGTCCAGCATCCCCAGACGCCAGCACCACTCAAGTCACATCATGCCATTGGCACCCAGAGCCGTGAAAACCCCACAGGCCTGCCCGAGAGGCAGAGGCAACATCGAAACCACAAAGAAACGCAGAGCACGACCATGTTCACAAAAGAGGTTGAAATCCCGAAGAATGTCGCTAGCCAGTTGGGGGTTGCTGACCCTCAAGCACACAAGGGAACTGGATCCAGCTAGCGATCGAACTCCAGAGGAAGCTAGCATCAGGATCGCGGCCTGAGGACCAATGCCAACCCTGGCCCACAACCCCGAGCACGGCAATGTACGGAAGGAGCTCTCGTGGTCGGCAAAATTTTCTCAACGGGATAAACACACTCAGATTTCTTTGTAAATTTGGCCAAGGAGTCAGGGTCACGAAACCACAACAGGACCAATAGGACCTATAGGACTTAGGCATCAACCATCATCTGTCAAGCGGTGCCGGTCAGCAGGGCCTTCGCTTCTCTCTTTTGGCGGTCGACCGCGCTTGTTGCCTGCAAAACGAGGCAGTCTGTAGAAGACACTCCTTGCTATCTGCTTACTGCACTTGGAACATACACTTACCACCAGCACATATGATTCGTCTGACTTGTGCTGAGGGCTGCGCGCTTCTCAGCAGACGCCTGAAATGGCATGATCACACTGCATCACGATCAAACAATACAGGAAAACAGCCCTGCAGACAAAAGCCCAACTTGTCACAAGCTCCGAGCCTACTTAGCTAGCATCTGAAAGAATCTTTGCGTAGCTGCTGCGTGGGCCTTCTCAACTGCAGATGCATCCTGGCCCGCGTCGGTTGCGGCCTCCTCCTCTATACATCCGCTCCGGCATGCAAAAAAAAGCAAACGGGAGGACTGAGGGAGCTCCTCCGCCGCAGGAGGAAGATCATCTTCTACCTCAATTCAATCTTCTAATCCATCTTGCCCTTTATCATGATAAATCTTGGCGGTAGTTGCTCAGGCTGCTAGGGAAGGTTGCCTGGTCTGCCCGGCACACGGTGCTAAGCTTCTGCGCTTAGAACCATACAAGCCCAAATGTACAATATCGAAGCTCGTGATCTGCATCGCGAAGGAAAAGCTCTGGTTGGGGCCCGAACTTCTCTGACACCGGCCGCAGCGTCAGTGGAGCCTGCCTCTGAAAACATGTGCATGCATGCAGAAAGCATTCACAACCCGTGAATACGGATGCGTTTGTTTGTTTTCAACAGGCAAATTGCACGCTTCTCAGCGGATGCCTGACATGGCATGGTCACTGGTCTCACTAGATCACTATCATAAGACTATCATACAATGCAGAATAGCAGCCCTGCCAACAAAGACTAGCCTCTTAGAATATTTGCCCAGCTGCTGCGCGGGCCTTCTCAACTGCAGATGCATCCTGGCCCGCGTCGGTTGCGGCCTCCTCCTCTATACACATCTGCTCGGCACTCAGAACGGGAACGGGCATGAGCTTTGAAGCGTTCCATCATGTAGCGTTGAGAGAGCTCCTCCGCCGGCGGAGGAGGATGATCTTCTGCCTCAATTCAATCCGTGCTGGCATGGTGATTGGACTTTGTTATGCGGGATCCTAAGGTTGCCATCGTCCTGGTGACCGCCTTTGCCTACCGTGCGCACCTTGTGACCTGCTGATGCCTAATTATGGGCAGGTTGCCTGCTGGCATTGAGCGTCATCCCAGCTACAAGCTCAGATAGCGGTAGGGACTTCTTACGTGTGTACAGCGTCGGCGGAGTCTGCCTCTTTCCGGGACCGTCTGTGCACTACGTACGTCACCTGGACGAACAAGCATACATACATAATCATACATACATGCATCCGTGCATGCAAACACAACAAATATTCATGCACATAGATAGATATGTATATATATATATATATACACGTACACAAATACATACATATGTATGCATATATATATATATATGTAGGAACTGGAAAGGTGCCTGGTTTTGAAGGCGCGCTGCTCTGCTGCCAAGCGGCTTGTACTTCGGCGCTTGCGTCGGTGGGTGTGCTGAGGGCACTGGCCAGGGCAGGTCTTCCACAAGAGTGCCATCAAAGCCAAGCCAAGCTCCCTTCAACAAATCCTTAGAAACCATGTAGGCCCTGACAACCCCTTTTCTTGCATCGATTCAAATCCGACTCCATACCGCAAGGTTGCAGAAGAACACTCCGGATGAGCTTTGGTCCTGCCTTGACATCAAGGACGAGAATCCGAGCAGCTCATCACATTGCCCCAGTGGTTTGTCGCAGTTGGAGGCGGGCTTAACATAAGGTGATGCCCCCACTTTCCGCCTGCTGTCTAGGTTACGTAGGCTGATTTCTGGCTTTAGGCATGTGAGGTGGCTGTGGTCCACTGAGCAGGCATTGCGGTGCCAAGTGTTCGTCGTGGGTGATGCTCTGCTTCGTGCGACCTAACTGTAGGCTTGATTCGACACGCCTGCGAAGGTTGACTTGCAAGCATCCCACTTACTACAAATAGCGACCATAGTCTTAGCGGCAGCCTTCTGCCCCAACGTGCGTCCCACATAAAGACCTGTAAACACCTGAACTGGAAAAGGGTCTCCTCCTGAACCTTGGCCAGTTGCTTGTGGTGGGCATCTTCGGTGTCACGCAGCTTCTGAGCCTTGGCAGGCAACAACCAAAACATTTGGACGACCCTGGCTACAAAGACAGCGTACCCTGGAAAGCATGCCTTTCATAGCAACGGACGCACTGCAAGCAATGGCAGTTCCAGGGCGGAATGTTAAGGGATACGTACGGGTTCTCAGGACAAGCCCGAGGGGACGATGTAGCAAGGGAAACGCTGAATAGCCTTTGGCCAGACACAAAGATGCCATCCACAGAAACAACGCGGAAGTATGCATGCTTTGCGTCACATGGCAGCTTTGCGGTGCGGAGACATGCGCGAACGGCCGGAGGATGGATAAAGCTTATGGCTACGGTCCGCACCAGTTCGTGCAGCTGCTGCTCCGCAGTCTGGAATTTGGACCTGTGTGCCCGCCACACGCACAAGTTGCCGCACAAGCTTAAGCCGGGTCTGCCAGCTCACAAGAACACGCTGACACTGTTTTGAAAGTGAACTGTGGGCCCACCTCATCTCTTGCTCGCGCGAGCTGGCAGCATCCAACTCCTGGCCATTAGGGCAGCAAAAGAAGTACAACATAAGGGCATGAAGGCTCCACCCCCATACATTTCTGATCCATCACCTCACCCTCTATAGGAATGCCCAAAGTAAGAACACACGAAGGAAGCTGGTCTGAGGGAAGGTTAAGTCCCAAAACCTTCGCACCAACAGCAGCATGCATCCATGAAAGGCCATGAGCATTCGAGGAGCGCAAGTAAGCATCCCATCCCGCTTGCTTTTCACGGTTGTGAAGCGACCCAAAGAATTTTCTGGCAGTGCCCAACCCCAACAAGAATCACACGTGAACTTGCCACCCTTTCGGCTGCAGAGTACCGAGGACTATCCGGGAATCTCTACAGTACAAGAACTGGATGAGAAAGTGAGAGCCAGGCTTCAGCTGATTTGTGGATTATTACTGCCGACTTGCCCCGGGTCAAAGCTCCGTCTGTGGAAGGCTGGCGGCAGCTTGCCGAAATGCCTCTTGTTGAGGCCGATCCCAACTGCCTTCCCAAATTCCGTTGTCGTCGTTGAAGACGAGCATCCACGATTGTCGCGCGTCGCGGTTGGGCAGCTGCCGGCGGGCCTCTTCGCTGATGTTGCGCTCGAAGCAGAAAACGTCGCCCTGGCAATGAAGATGCAGCTCCCGCAGCACTGCTTTGGGAAGGGCAGGGCTCACAGCCACAGGAGCGATCAAAAGGTCGGGGGCCTGCTGCAACACCTGCAGCTGTCCGAAGCGCTCTTCCGAAAAAGGCAAGGCCAAGTACCTGGGAGAACTTTGCTCCTGAAGGCGTACCATGCGTTCGAGCCAGCGCTCCAGGCGCAACTCGCTCTTTGGCGGCGGATGAAGCAGAAGCGACTCGACACTGAGGTTGGCAAGGCTATGCAGCGCCAAATGGGCGAAAGTGGCATCCACCGGTTCGCGCAGGAAAAGAGATTCCAGGAATTGGAGTCTGGTTTGGTTCATGCCCTCTGGAGACCAGGCACGCGCAAGCATGGAGAGCCGTCCCCAGGCAGTGAGGAACATCAGGTCGTACGTTGCGATACTCCTATCACGTCCGCAGACCGCCTCCTTGTGCTTCGTGAAGTAGTCGCGGATACTGCTCAAAGCCTCGTAGAAGAAAGGATGTCTGGGCCCTGTCGCCATCATCAAGTCGGTATCTGTGGAGTATGGCTCCGTGAGACCGCCGACGCCACGAACTTCCAGCAAGCCGTCGTCCGGCCTCTCAATGTTTACAATGAGGGCCACATGCCTGCCCGTTGCCCTCACGGCCGCGGCAAGGAGCTCGTCTAATGCCCGGAGAGGGCCGGTGTCCATGTCGGCATACACACCCCCATGCACATAGAGAATGGCGTAGGTGGACAGATCTGCCTGGGAGATGGGAGCCTGCAAGCAGCCAGCAATCGACTCGTAGAGTTCGACGAACTCAGGCAAGTGCTCCTGAAAGAGCCTGGCCTCATCGGCATCTGTCCAGAATTGCCATCTCCATGAAGGGTGGTGAACGCGCCACAGGCGGGAGAGGCTTCGCCACTCAGGCGGCCATTCAGAGGTGCTTGCAGTGCGGTACTGCTGGTGGATGATGCGTGTAATGGGCAGTGGCTCCTCGCCTCTGTTGCACCCTAACAATAGGCTGGCCACAGTCAGAAGCCCAAGCACTTGAGATCCTGCGGCCCATGCTCGAGGAAACTTGGGCCGCAAGGGCCAGAATCCATCCTTCGCCATGGGCCGTCGACCTGACATGCACGATTCAGCACCTCAGCCAAAGGTCCAGCCACATGTGTGCTTGTCCAACGAATGCCAATCCGTACGGATTTTGGGATCTCAGAAGTAACGTGGGCGTTGCCCTTTTGTTCTGAAGCCCATGCATGCCCTGGGAGTTGCGGTCAAATGAGCTTTGTTCGGAATTTTGAACTACGCCCATGAGATTCTGCTGTCGCCCGCCTAGCTCGTTTGCACGATGAGGACCACAGTCGGTTTCTTCAAGGGGGGCTAAACTGCGATCAGCCTTTGGTACCGTTGCAGGATTTGCTTGCTCTTCGGCTGTTTGAATGTGAGGGTCACCCCTCTGTCGTAACAATCGAATGGAAGCCCTACATCTACACTTTGGAGCCTGTAGGTCTAGAAGCCCTAAACCCTATGCCATGAGGTCCCTCAAACCCCTCCGAAACTCAGAATCCTGGGATAGTCTTAGGCACCCACGTCCCGGCCAGCTCCCTCCAGCTGAGTCCTCTCGGTGTGGCTACAAACTTCAGGTTCTCAAGTGCACGTGAAGCGACACCTGCTCCATTTCTGCATGACATATATCCGAAGGTAAACAAAGTCAAACCAAAGCCCTTGCCCTAGTCTTCAGGATTCCAAAATCTGACTACATTACATCATATCTCCCTCTGAAGGAGGATTACATGTCTGAAAATCAGACCCTGCCAAAGCCACCGATGAGTCGCTGGACCTGCGGAAATCTGCTGATTCATGCGGGGCCGCGGGGCCCAGACACACCCCCACCTGCGGAATGCCCGCAAGGGGCAAAGCGACCTCCCACCCTGCTGCTAGATATACCCTTTCAACTCCGGAAGACATGTTGAAGTCTTTATCAATACTTGTAATCGAACGAAACCCGAAAACCTTAAAACATCTATCCGTGCAACATCCTTGACCAAACCCAAGCTTACCCTTTTACAGTCTTCCGGCCTCAGCTCAGCCTCGCGGCTTTCGGCCGCGGTAAGCCGCGCACGAAGCGACTCAAGCTCCTGTCGCTGGTCGTCCTGACATAGCCACGACCACTACCAAAACCTTAACCACCAAATTACTCCTACCACTCCTACTACCACCGCTACTAATTACTACTCTTACCACTCCTACTAGAAACTCGTACTCCTACTCCTACTCCTGCTCCTACTCCTACGCTAATTCTACTCCTACTGCTAGTGCCACTACTGCAGCTCTTCTGCTGCTACGACCGTTACGACTGCTACGACTTACTATCTACTTGCTCTTACTGCTTAACCACTCCTCGGCCAGATGCTGCTGCGCCAAAGCCTGATGCTAGCGCCAATTTGGAAAGACCCTCCGCTTAAAAAGGGACCGTCGGATCCGTGCTTTGTTTTTACGGAAAAGTTCGGCATCAAAGGCCTTGGAGCTGGCTGTACAGACGTCTGGGGGCATCACAGTTGCTTCACTGCGGAACCGTGCCCTAAACAAATCATCCAGAGCTTCCCCTGCAACTACTGGTTGCGGTCAGGAAAGCCAGGTGGGATTTATGCCACAAAGCCTCAAGTATTAACCCTGAATGCCTGTAAAAAACCCTGCAAACCTGAATAAATGAACTTTTAGCATCCTACAAACCCTCAGAGGCCATAAGCAGGTTTAAGCCCTGAATTCCCCAAACGCATAACCTTTGGCATATATGATCTATATATATATATGTATATATATATAATGTATGTATATATAATGTATGTATATATACACACACACCTACACACATATCACATTCTTATATTCTATTGTATTAAATATATTCTATCACAGTTAATTGCTTGCATTATATACAGCTATGTATTGATTCTAAAAAATATATATATATATATATATATATATATATATCATATATATATATATATGTATGTATGTAAATGTAACCCCCCCCCCCCCCCGGGGGTTAGCCACGTTTTTTTGTTGTGGCTATCCACTAGATCGTTTCACGGACCGCGGTGACCCTGAACACCCCCCCCCCCCCCCCCCACAAAGAATGAGAACAGCAACAAAATAGTAACATAATAACCGGACGGAAAAATAACCAACCCCCTACATAACATAAATGTATGCAAACCTTGAGTTGTTGAGTCCTCTCCATCTATCCAAACACTGGGCACAGCGACCTCCTCCCCTCCCCTTACTTCCGCTGCGCTCCCTGGTTTTTGTAAACTCATTTTTTTTGTTCAGGGCCTATCTCTAAAGCCCTACCCGTGAAGGGTTTAGGACTTTTTAAAGGGTAAAGAGAGGCCCCGAAACCCCATAGGGTTTAAGGCTTAAATTAACGCCTGGGTTAGACCCGAAAACTAAACCTTTAAACCCTATAGGCCCTATAGGGTTTCAAGGCTAAGCAATTCAAGCTAACCCTTTCCTGTAGGGTTATGGTTGAAAGATTCAAGATTCAGGCATGTAAACCTAAGCCCATCGAGTCTAAACCTTGAGGGTTCACGATTTTGGCATTTAAACCTAAACCCTAAGCCCTTTAGGGTCAGAACACTGAAAGCCCATAGGGCTCTAAAAGGCTCAACAGTTTTAACTCTACAGGCGCTGAAGGTATACATGCCCAGACCTTAGGTTTCAAAACCATTAAACCCAGTAAAGATTAAAGGTTTAGGGTTTTTTCAAGGTTTATCTCAAAAACCCTCACGGGGTTAGCCCTATAGGGTTTAAACCCTATAGGCCTACAGGGTTCAAAGGTTTAGGGTTTCAGGTTTAGGCATTACCTACAGGATAAGAACCTGCCCTATAGGGTTTGAGGCTTGAATCTCTCAACCTCAAGTCCCATAGGGTTATGCCTTTGCTTACAGGGCTTGCCTCCTGTGGGAATGCAAACAAAAAGCAGAATAAGTACCCACATCATGTATAGGGTTAAGATTGCTGGGCAAGACCTCCGTGCAATCTTGGTTCTTGGTTCGTGGTTCCACGGGACGGGTTTCGGTACAACTTGTACCGGTTTGTGCCGGCCTGTACTGGTGCAATACAAACATATGCCAAGCATTTGGAAAGTATACCAGAACATATGCCAAACGTATACATATATATATATATGTATATATATATATATATGTCTATCAGATTGAAAGAAAATAGAAATCAACACGCTGGGGCTGGGACAAACAACACAAATCACGAAGCAAAAAAGACAAACAAACACAAAATAAGCAGCAAAGGCGTGGATAACGGGGGGGGTACCATATATACATATATATATATTCATATTTGTATATTTATTTACCTATTTATTTGGGCTTAGCAGGCTTTCCAAACTGCCGAAGAAGGGGCCATGGAGGCTCGTTTCCCCGCGGACTCGGCCACTTGCAACTGAGACCTCGAGAGCTTTGGGCGAATCAGGGTTTCGACTCATGCACTACGGTTTGGGGCATTTAGGGGCTTGCGGCACACTTCTCCATTCCAGGTCTCGGAATTTCATGTTGTTGAGGAATATGATTGAGGTAGGTCGTGCTGAGAAACATATCATGTGCAGGTTTTTGTTCCTGGCCAAAGAAGTTCCAAGCTCGCAAGAACTTTACTCACTTGAAGTGGATCTGGTGAAACAATGGCCTTGGGCCTTATGACCCCTTCCCGCCCCCATAAAAAAACGATGATGTACCAAAAGGGGAGTACTGAATTTCAAGGGCAAGGGGTTTGGTGTCCTTCTAATTGGCAACGGATAAGCTGCAGTGTGACGCATGCAGGAGCAAGGCAGGGCGCCATGGGCGCAGAGCCGCTGGACTGCACACACCACACCCGGTTTAGGTTTAGGGTTTAGGGTTTAGGGTTTAGGGTTTAGGGTTTAGGGTTTAGGGTTTAGGGTTTAGGGTTTAGGGTTTAGGGTTTAGGGTTTAGGGCTTAGGGCTTAGGGTTTAGGGTTTAGACGCCCCACGTGCTTGACATCCATGGGGCGAAAAGCGCAGCTTTGCTACGCTAAAACCGTTTGCAATTGGGCGATTCCGACCTAACAAAACTATGGCCTCAGCCAGAGATGCCGTTGTGATCCTCCGCCCACTTTAACTCGCAGCGAACTAGCTCGTCAGTCTCAGGCAGCATGGAGGCGACGGCTCGCATCAACCAAGCCAAGTACTGAATAGCATTCTGCTGAGCTTCATCCACTGCCTGAAGTTGATCCCAAAGCTTCGATGTTTGCTGCTTGAGCGCAAAGAGGTCCACCGCGCGTGCCGCGCCATGGAGCTGCAAGCATCGCTCAGAAAAATCTTGGTAACTCACGAGGTGGTCTCCATCCGCATCCAAGCTATCGAACAAGGTCCATGCATCCACAGCATTTACTTCAATCTTCTCAAAAAAGGCCTTCATCTCCTCTTGCTTGAACAGTTCTTCGAAGTCTGAGATGGTTATTTGCCCAACGCCGTTCACATCAATCTGGGACCAAAGGTTTCCCACAAGCTGCTTGAACGTCTGCACGTGCCGCAGCAGGGTCTCCTGATCCTTCTCGCGTGTCTTGATGGCGCTGTTTACGAAGACACCTGCCAGGGAATCGGACTGTTCTGAAAAAGTGTGCGGGTTTGCCCTCGTGCCAGCAGCCCACAAGCAGCACACCTTCTTGCGCCTAGGGGAGGAAAACAGCGTCTCAAAAAAATACCGGCTCAAGCATCTTTGTAGCTCTTACGTGAAATACATCCATTGATCTGGCCTAAGTAAGGACGGACGCATGTCCGCGTACCTTTAGCCACGCACGTCGACAGTGAAGTAAGTCAGTCGGAATTTTCGAAGGCAGTCCCAGTAACAGGGACAAGCAGCCATCATAATCAGCGTCCAAAGTTGCGCGAAACATCAAAAATCACAACAAAGGACTGGATACCCGCACATGACTGAAATTCAAGGCAACCACGCGAAAACTTGCAGCGGCGTAAGCTGCGACCCTCAGTGCGGCGCGGCAAATGATGAAAACAAGAGGTGTAGAAACAGTTACAGGCACATCTTAAAGAGGAAATGGCGCCACGTGCAGGACTTTTCTGCGGGGAGAAACAGAACATGTCATCTGCGCCGTACTCCCCCCACCCCATAATGAACCCTGCCCTCATTAGAAGTATTTAATTTATCTGACCAGACCCCCCTGTACAAGAAGAACTGCTTGAGATTCAGATTTTCAGGTCGGAACGAAGTGAAGAATTTGGGAGAGGGGGTGGGAGTCGAGACTACAACGGGGGCGAATATAGCAAAGGCGGAGCTCTTCATTCTACTTCGCACGCAGCGCCCGATTCTCAGGCATAGCATGAATCGCATGACACTACGCATGGCCCAAGAAGGACGATCCCCATATGAAGGCCTAGAACGAATAGCTCTCTCCAACCTCTCGTCGCCATTTTAAAAGCTTGAAACACCGGCCCTGGTAGAATGTGATGGAACATGGATGACATGTCGCCCTCATCCTTCCTTCTTCGGAAGATTGGGAGGCACCGAGATTTGGGAAAGCGCAAGTTTGCGCGGAAGCCGAAAGAAGCCTTCCCGCGACACATGACGGCACACATCTACCAGCGGGTGCAGCTGCAGATGAATGTTGACTGATGCGGTCCCTCCTTTCAGAAATGATGTGGCAGAAGAGATCTGACCTGGCACCCCGGAACTAAAAGGGATCGTGAAGGGATCTCAAGAGATGAAACTTCGACTCGCGCTGCCCAGCCTGTGATGACATTCAAAATTGCCAGTCCGCCCACTGCGATGTAGACATGAAAGAGCTGGACCCACAGAGCACCCAATGGCGCGAGGCTGTCTGCTGCCTCGATCCAGTCGAACCCTTCCAGCAAGGCGCGAAAAAGCGTGTTGCAAGAGATGTACAAGCTGCCGAAATATTTCGGCATCTGAATTTCCAGCGGGAAAGACTCCAAGTGCTGGAGGCACATGTCTGTAAACAAAATGCCGAAGGAATAGATCATCAACCCCAAAAGAACCATGGCCCAAAATACCTGACGAATCGTGTCGAGCACAGACCTTGGCTGCACCCACGCACCGCTACCTTCTCTACTGCTCCGTCAACGTCTCAAAGTCCCAGGTGTGTTCCTTTGGACACTCCAGACGGCGCGCGGGCACAGCCGTAGGACTTTAAGAGGCTGAGGCATGACACGTTCATGCTTGACCAGAGCTGTGCGTAGGTAGTATGAGGTATTTGTGCTGAAAAATGAGAGAACAATCATGATACTAGATATTGCAGGAGCAGTAACATGAAAAACGAACAACTACTAACAACGAACAAACTGAAAACAACTAGCAGCTTGTCCTCGGTATTTCCCAGCTAACACAATCAATGACTCACACTCACGAACAGTTCACAAGAATGACTTATACTTGCAAATAAGCAAGAATAAACAAGATAAGCATAACATAAGAAATCCCAATAGCTTATGAATGCGTATCATGATACTCTCTGCATTCAAGCCGCAGCACCAGGTCACGGAAAGCGCTTATGAATCGAACAAGGCGGACAGACCGGATTAGCTGCAACAGCCGCGTGACGCGGAACACCTGCAATTGGGTTCAGCGGGTAGGGTTTAGGGTTTGCTTCTGCACAGCTTGGGCGAATCCCCATCGCAGGGACGTTTAGAGGGCACTCCTCATGATGCCTCTCTCAGATGTCCCCCTTGAAAATACCACCGGGTTAAGGGCCTAAAAGCTTAGGGGTTTTGCGTCGTGGCTCGGCAAATGGAAGAATTTATTGGTGTACCGTGCGGTTTTGCGGGTGCGCTCGAGAAGGATTTGGGATCCACGATGGTGCTAGAACTATGTCCCAAACACTTGCTGTTTGAGCCCTTGAAGCCTAAGGTACACTTGAATTTATCTGCAAAGGCCAAGGACAAAAAGCCGCTGAGCAAAACTACTCCAAGGTGCGCGGATGATCCGGAAGTTCTGGGCAGAGCCACCGAGATCTACTGCCAGCTCCACCCAAGCGGGGACGACGATGAAGACGTCCTAGACGAGACAAGAACAGCTTGGAAGATGCAAGCTCATGTCACCCTTACCTTCATATCTGGCCGTCCTGGTGCAGGCAACCAACAGACACAAGCTGTGTCAACAGGCTCGGCCAAACTCCCGAAACTTGGAGCAGGCCAGATGTCTACTACTTCTTCGCACAAGTGACTGTGAGGAAGTGGGGGTTTGGGGTTCCCTGCGCAGACAAAACCCTGGGGCTGTGGGAAACATTATCATGCTTTGCATCACCCACGGGTCCAGCCAACTCCATGCGCAATCGGGACCGAAGAAGAAGTTGTATGGCCCAACGGCTATGAGCCGGATGGACATCCTTGGGGTTGAGAAGTCGGAGGTTTCTAAACTACGATGCAGATCTGGAAAGGCCTCCCCCAAGTTTGCCAGCACGCAACTGAGGCTCTCTACGGTAAAGATGACAGCGTAGCAAAGATGTCCGATGTTCAAGCCGAAAGCTGTGGCGGCATCGTAGCCACCTTGAGGGCAGGCTGAACTGCGCGCAACAACCGACCGTTCGGAACAGCGTGGCTAAATTTCTTAACCTCATACACTACATTCTGGGTGACTTGCCGTTAGAGCCTATGGCAGAGGGTATTGTCTTGAAGCTTTTGGGCGGCGTTCACAAGCGCCAGAAGTCTTGGTCGAAAAAACCGACATCCAAAAAAGAATAACTGAGGGAGCCAAGACGCCAACCGCTACCCACTCCAGCTCGATTCCCAGAAACACGGAGTTCGAGACAATCACGGCGGCCACAATGACATTGAAGGCAACCGAGGTAGATATCATCAAAGCCCAGTCTTGGCAGCACCGGCACCAAGATCCTCTTGGAGCCTCCATTTCCTTCGACACTTGGTGTACAGACTGAAAACGAATCGCCTCCTCTTGGGCCAGCTCATAGTCATGGTTGGCCTGAATAGTCTTGCGGATTGATCTTGCGGACACGGAGTGAGTCGGACCGTCGGGTTTTGGAGTTCTCTGCCCCTCAGTCCCCTCAGTGAGAGAGCCTGACTCCGCGACGTCATCTAATAACTTCTCCTCGTTTATGGTCTCGGGCGCTTCGGGCATCTCAGGGGGAGGACCAAGAGGAGGAAGCAAGACACCCATCCGTCCCTTGTCCATCGCTTCCTCCACCCGGCCCAGCCAAGCATCCAAACGCTCTAGCAGCTGTGCATGCTGCTTCTGCAGGACTCCATCCACTAGGTCAGGAAGCTCGGCCATGTGCGCGGCTGCCCCTGCTCCTCAGGCTCAGCCTCGCCCAAGGAGTGACAATGCATGTGAGCTGGAGCCAGCCGTGCCTCAAAAAGAAAAACCGATATGCAAGCTGGCGTGCAGCGTGGAGCTTAACAAAAGACTGAGACTGAGCGGATGGCGTGCAAAACATACGAACCCAGCCCGAGAGAAGGGCCGCAGGCGTTCCTCATTCGCCACGCTTTCCGCTAGCTCCTGGCATGCTGGAATTCTTTCCGGGAGCCTAACTTCAGCAAACAAGGGGAGCAAGGGGATACGACAGGACAAGAAACGAGGTACATGACACGAGAGGTCAACGAGGCGACACGAGACGAGGTAAGAAGAACAAGGTCACGAAGATGCCACATGAGGACACAATTAACAACACTAGGGGCCCCAACACAGGACAAACAAGCAAACTAACTACCTAACTAACAACCACAAACAAACAAACCAACAAACAAATACACAAACAAACAAATACACAAACACACAAATTGTTTCACTTCGAACATCCCCACCCTCTCTGGGTAGAGATGCTCTGGGGTTGGGCACTCCAGGGACACTCAGGGACACTCTGGGGTTGGACACTCCAGGGACCCTTGGGGTGGCACTCCAGGAACACTCTGGGGTTGGTTGGGCGCCCAGGGTTGGGCGAGGAGAAGTAGACCGGGCGAGGAGAAGGCAAGCAAGCAAAACACACACCAAAACGAGAAACGCGTGGCAAGCAAGCCAAACATGTACCATAAACAACCAAGTGACGCACTAAAACAAACCAATGGACACACCCCCAAAACTAACTGGGCTCTCCAGCGAAGACTCAAGGCCGCTGTTTTGGTGCAAGCCCGGCACACAGTCGCTTGCGGGCCCCGTTGTCCGGACACGACGACGACACACACAGAGACTCCGAAGAAGGGGCTGAAGGGTTCAGTTGTTTGTTGCTTGCCAGCTCAAGGTTCAAGCGTTTAGTGAGTTGCCAGAGCCTTTTGACAAAACGTGCTGCTGAGGTCTCCCTGCCCTGAACACCCCCCCCCCTCCACACCCGTAGACAAAAGGGCCCACAATGAGCTAACTGTGCCAGCTTTTGACAGCCAAATTGCAGGCAAGCACCCCTATCTGCACCGCCTGAAGCAGTGAACATGTTCCACCCTGAAACACCGTGTGCATCCCTGTGCTGTAAATCCTCTGAACTCGAGACTTCAACTACCTGAGCCCCAACGTGACTCCTCTCGGAGGCGGTTGAGCTCTTCTCTTTGGACCTGACAAAGCAAAATAAGCAGACTTTTCCGCCGAAACTTCGCGGTAGCAGCACGCTGTCTGCCACAGTGCTCCCTATCCAAATGATGCCGTCACGGCATTCTGGCGTAAGAGAAGATGCTGATGCCACGCGGCCAGGAACCCTGCGGTGGCATCAAGACTCTCGTCGGCCGGAGCATCGCTTGATTCACGCCTGTGAGCTTCTTTAGCCATGTCGTGCTTGAGTTGAGGCAGGTACCATCTGTTGAGGCGTTGTTCCTACTTCTGATTACGTGAAAACAGAGGGCGGAGAGCCGATGAGCAGAACAAATCAACCCCCATGCAAAACTGCGGGACACTGCCACCGCATACCACAGCCTGGGTGCTTCCTTTTTTGCCTGCGAGAGCTCCTGCCACTGCTGCAGGCACTTCGCAGCCTTCGCGTTTGCATGATCTCATGCCTGCCCCCTGTAACCTGGCGGCCCCTGCCGCAACAGGTGAGCGCTAATTTTGATTTCACTTCGCTGATTCTTTACACTTCCTAGCCAGTGACCAATGTCTGCAACACTCCTCCTTCGCCGACTGCAGCGCGTGGCTCACCTCCTTGAATTGCGCCGCCAGCTTCTCCTCTGGAAAGCTTTGCATGCAAAAGGCATCGATGCACATCGATTGCAGTGCTTCCCAGGCGTCCTGCTCTGCCTTTGTCAGGGAAAGCTCCTGATTCGCCTGCAGGAGTAGTGGGTAGACGAATGTACTCATCGTGTCATCTTCTCACATGCGACTACTCGGTGTCTGCCGGAAGGCGACACACGCAGTCAAAAGGTAGCTCGCTCCAGTAGATGCACCCAGTTGCAGAAGTCAGCCTTTGCCTAAACATAGAATGCTCGACTACAACACGCTCTCAAACCTGATCATGACGGCCTCACAAAAGCAACCCCTAAACCCTAAACCCTAAACCCTAAACCCGATGCATGCCTGGGTTCCGGACCGAAAAAAAGGCGATGCAAAACACTTCTGATATACAAAGCAATTCTTTCACCGAGCCCGCCACCGGACGCAGTGTACTGAACCCATTATTCCAAGGAGAACTATGCGAAAGGAATTATATGATAACATTCTGCAGAACGGGTAGAGAACTGTGCTGACGCCTAGTCTTGCTTTGCGACCGACCTAGGGAATCATTTCATGTCGTGGGCATCATACATGTTCAGTTTGGCCTTGGAGAGCTCGTCAGTTCGGCCATCAAGTTCTGACCTGTGCCGGGCTCTCTCCCTACAGAACCAAGGAGCTGTGGTTGATGAGGTTGTCGTCACGTCACCCTGAACCACGCACGCTGCTGCATGCTCAGTTGAACATTGTTGAACCCAATTTCGGCACAACCAAGACTGAGGAGTGCCAATCTCTGAGCACTGATGCCTCTTCCCCTATTCTGTACACCTACTTGAACTCCAAAAAGCAGGGACCTTTTGAGCTTGTAGGCGGAAGTACTATCATCAAAACGGGACCTATTTGCGGGTGGTCATATGAAGGGAGGGAATCATGAGAAATTTCGCTTACATGACGGCATCTGGATATACTCAGCTGGGCCTCAACCACTTCAGTTGGCCCTCGGCGCTGGCTTCAATCTCCTCAAGACCTGGCACGCGCACACGCGCGCGCGCGAGCAAGCAAGCAAGCAAAACAAAAAAGACAGCCACTCAGGCACTCGCACGATCATGTTCGAAGATGCCCCAAACCCTAAACCTCAAACCCTGAACCCTAAACCCGAAAGCCTAAACGAGACACCAGGTCGAGATCGCCGAGCTGCATCCAAATGGGATGGAGGGAAAAACATTCTTAAGATTCTGATTACTGTCCATGACCATTCCTGTTTGCGCTTTTTTCTACTTTTACTTGTACAAATTATACACATACTATTTACGATTACCGTGTACTACATGCGCTTTCGTATTCGCTATTTATTATGTACTATGCCCATTACGATGTTGTACTCTTCCTATTTCTGTTGCGATTCATATTTTTCCTATTGCTATTCGCGTTGCTCTTGCTGTTCTTGTCCAGTTCCACAGTAAGAAGGGGGAACCCTCTACTCACAAAATATGCCATGACGATGACCCCAAAAAGATCCCCCTTCTGGCTGCCGCGCGGCTCTCAATGCGATCCCGTAGCTGCCAGTCCTGAGGCCCAAATAATTTCCAGGATAAGCAGAGGCGGTTTACCAGCACCCCGCCCCGAACTACCCTTTAGCAGTAATAGCAGGGTATATAAGCCCCCTTTTTCTTAAAGGGTAGTTGGGGGGGGGTGCAGGGTTTGGGGTCTATAAGGGTTTAGGGTCGGACCCATGTGAGAGCAGATGAGGCATATACATCATCACAATGTTCTTCAACTCCTTCTCTTCGATGCTGTCTATTCGACTTTAGAACTTTAAAGTTGCTCTGGGTTCAGCTTGTGGACCGGGGCCGGTGCTCGCTTCTTTGCCTCAGCATTCTTGTGCTCAAACTGCTCCACCTGCAAGTGTTGGGAACGCAAATTGGAAGTCAATGGGATCTGCGGCTCACAGGCCTGGCTCGAAAGACTACAGGGCAATGTGGATCAGACATGCCTCTGCATCTACGTGTGCTCGTGCACCGCAGCTTTCTTGGCTTCTTGTCCAGTCTGCAACGCCCATATATTCATCCCTTTTCTCATCTCCGGAGCCTCGTCCTTGACTGTCGACCTGCTTGTGGGTACGACGGGTCGGATTGTAGGGTCACTACGCGGGCTGCGCTCGCCTGCGTCGCACGAGTGCATTTGATTTTGCACATGCCATCTGAAGATATCTGAAGTGGCGGCACATCACATCCAAGGAGGAGCTCGCAAAGCCGATGCGAGCTGCAGCTTCAGTGATTCAGCAGCTTTCCGGAGGGACCCGGAGGAGGGCGAGGGTCAGTTGACTTCACGGTTCCTCAGCGTGAGTGAACTTGCAGCGCTCACCATAGGTGCACTTACCTTTTTGGAACTGTTTGCACACGCGGTGGAATGCCTCCGCTTTCGGCACGTCACCCTCGACTGCCTCGCCATACTCTGGGTCATTCTCGTCCGCAGCCAGGTCTGTCCATCCCCAGAGGATAATGGAAATACGTCCAAGCTGGTCGTGCTTTTCTGGGGGAAGAGCATTGATCCCATGCTTCCAGTTGATATTTATTCGCCGCCCGAAGGAGAAAGCCATACCATTCAGCTGAGGGAAGTATGCCAAGGTGCCATGCTGCACGTGCCTGAAAGCGAGCTCCCGCTCTCCCCCCAGTGAAACCCCCACAGTGATGTTCTGCTTGCCCAGCCGCCGCTGGCTAAATGCCGCGGTGTCGTGGTGCAGTGGCTTCCAGTCTGCCCCGTTAACATACCAATTGAAGCGAGAGTACACGGATGCTTCCACGATGCGGAAGTAGGAGATGACCCGGGCAACCACGTCACAATAGGTGGCAGAACACTCGGGCGCCTTCGTGATCAAGTGGCAGCCGTCTTTCCAAGATGCCCACCTCGCTTCCTTGCTCCCCTCAGCCTGCGCTACGCGGATTTCCTCCACCATCCGATGATACAGAGACAGGTCGTCCTGGCCACAAAGCCTTGCATGCAAGAAGGTTCTCACTCGCTGGCAAAGAAGAACCTCTTTTGATTCTTCGCGAGGTTCTCCACGGGTCCCTTAAACCCAAACCCTCGCCCCTCCTCTCCCCCACCCTCACACAGCCCAATGCGCCGAGCAGCAGCTCGGGTACCACCAGAACGTCGTCTCCGTCAAGTGCCCGCGTGAAGCCGCGATGCGGTAGTCCGACCTGCACCACAGCAGCGTCGTCAAAAGAGAACCACCCTCTGGTCAGAGAGTCAATTCCGAAACCTTCCTGCCCGCCCGCCCAATTCTCTGCCAAACCTAGACGAGCCCTGAAGGCATGAGAGTCTCCGAATTTCAACATCAGTTCAGGGTGCATGCACGCGCAAGGCCGGCGGCACCAGGGTCGAATTGGGATCCCGGTCCTCGCCGTGTCAATATGTCTGCTACAGCTTTGAGAGTGCGAGGGACAAGGGCATGCCACGCAAAGCCTGCCACAGGGCCACAGTCATGCGCAAGTGATGCCATGCATTCCGAAGTGTTCTGTGGAGAATGTGCGTCAGGCGAAGGACGGATGTGACGGATGAGAGCGCAGCGATCTAGACCTATGAAGCAGACTGGGTGACAGGAACATCAGGAAATGACGGCTCAGCCAAAAACCCTTCCAAGGCATGAACAGCTGGGTATGCTGGGTCCTCGAGCCGCGTGTTGAGCCCATCCGCTTTTCGGTATTGCCTCCCTTTGCGGGGATCCTCCAGCGTAAGCCGCGGATCCTGGCCTGAAGGGAACTTTGGGGGATACCTTTATAGGACATCCTAGGACAAACAGATCGCACCCCGTCTGCCCCAAAACACCTGCCCCGTAAAAAACGTTGGATGTAGGGGAATCAGCCCAGCCTACCGTGGCGTTTGCCTCGTCACCAGCAGCTCGTACAGGGGCATGGCTTTCTGGCGGTGGCTCAGTTGAAGGCATCTTAAGCATGTTCCGGGTTCAACTGTCCGACGGCCACACGGACTGTCTTTCGGTGATTCGTACATTGGCATGGAAGACTGATGGACTTTCGAGCTTTGAGTTGATCGACATGCTCGTCGAGCCAAGTCATCACTTCCTCCCATCACACACATTGGCTGCCGGTGTTGCTACATACACAGGAGCCTTTTCACCCGATAGGCATGTGAAACTGCGAGGTCAGCCATCTACTCAACATAGTGCCCTGCGCATCACGGTGAAAAACTGAGATTGGCTCTAAGACTCATGCATGTAAGCAGTTGAGACATTAGAGTCTACAGGCCGAGCTGAGATCACTCCGCTTTACGAGCATCGCTGCCACAGCAGGCAGGCAGCATGGACTCTGCCAGGCCGAATGGTATCTTCACTCAGCTCCATACCTCCCTACCTCCCAGCACTCCCAACTTCATCAATGTCATCCAGCTGCTGAAGAGATGCACTTGGAAGGCCACCAGCAGTCAAAATGTCCATTGGCACCTTAGCTTGCGCATTGCAACATGCCACCGCTTGGCCACACGACACCTTGCACACACAAGGCCTCGCTACACAAACATGCAGCAGATGGCATGGGCTGCCATAGGTCGTTCCTCATAGATGCAAGCGGGCAGATCTCGAAGGTGCACCGTTTTGTTGAGCAGCCCAAGTCCAAAAACTCTTGAAAAGCACGCTCGAGCGCATGGGTGAAGAACTGATTGAAACATAACGGTACTTGAAGTATAAGGGCTCAAGAGTGCCAAGCGCTTGGCAGACTCAAGTGCCAGTACGTGCATCTTGCACGGAAACTCGGATCGAGGAATCTCCACAGCGGCTGTGATCACTGTTTGGTTTTAAGCCGTATCTGCCGAATCCTAAAGCTAATTACAGAATCTAGAACTCCCGAAAGGACCTTCCTGCCCAAGCAAATGTAGTACTATAGTGCCTCGCCGCCCCGCCTTACAACACAGCAGTTCACATGTCAAAGCGGCACGTGACATAACCAGCTTAAGAACCTATGCTAGCGGGGTGGTATTTGTCAGCCTCTCCGAACCTGTATGAGACAAGCATCCAGTTGATCTTCCCCAAGTATGTAGAAAGTGCTCGCAACCCGCGGTATCATGTCGCCACACAAGCCAGGTCCACAAATGCAAGCCCTTGAACTTCTTTCTTTTGTGCATCCGGGCTCTAGCCGCCCAACTCGCAAGCCCTAGGCCCTAGTCCTCCTTTAGAACACATATGGGGATGAAATACGGCAAGGTTGACATGTTCAAAGTAATTATGCTTATGGCTCATTTATGTACACGTTGTGATTTGTTTAACGCTACATGCGTATGTGTAAGTATGTACATGTATACACATCTATGCAGAATTCAGCTTGTATGCATTATAAATCATGTTTATACAAAACATTCGTGCCATCATCGTAGAACCGCAACAGCGGCCGTTGTGGACACGGAGGTGGCTTCTCTCGCCTCAGCGGCGTGCCTCCTCAAGTTGCTTGCGCAAGCGATCCACCTCGTCCTGGCATGGCTCCAGCCTTTTTACACTGAGGCTTCGGGTTGTTGACGGGTGTGGCATTTTTCAGCAGTGGGTTTTAAAGTAGCCGAATGGTCAAGGTCCTGGTCTTCGGCGAGCGCCGCTTCCTGCTGCTTGGCCCAGCCGCTCAGGGACTCCTGGACATCCACTCCGGCTTGCTCGTACCTTGCAACTCAGCGCTTTGCTGCATGATCCCGGAGGCATGAGGTCAGGATGTCCTGCCCCCCCCCCTCCCTCCCTAACAGCCCCAACACTCGGGACCATTCATTCTTTCTTGGGCCATGGGGTCAGGCCCTATTTGCTCCGTCCAACCACGTCAAATGTTTGGATCCAGGGCGCTCTTTGTTCCACTCGTCGAAGGCCTTCTCGGCCTCCTTCACGGTCTCGAAGACGCCCAGGAGGTACTTGTTGCCGAAGGAGTCGATCGCCTCGGACTTGTAGAGCTTCTCGGCGGTGCCCCAGTTGTGCTTGAACCTGGCGTTCAGGATGCGGGAGTTGCTTTTAACATTTCACCTTCATCGAGAATTGAAAAGATGGCCAGTTGCTAAGGCTCCCGCTCACCCTCGAGGACGGCAGGGATCTTGGCCAAGTCGGCGAGCATCTCCTCATCCAGGGGCGGCATCGGCGTGTCGGAGTACTTGGGCATGACCTTGAAGATCTCCTTGACGATGTCCGCCTGGCAAAAAGCACAACAACGACACAGCTACAACACCCAGCTCCATGCCCACCGCGCGCGCTCCCAGCCTTCGTCTTGCCGGCCACCTTCTTCTGGGAGCGGAAGAAGGCCTTCAGGTCCTCCACCTTCTTCTCGTTGGCCTCCCGGGCCTCGTAGTACGGCCCGATGAGATCGGTGGCCGTCTTCAGGAACTCCTCCGGCGCAGTCCTGGTGTTGAACTCCTTGACCTCCGCCTCGGAATGGTTCGCCTTGTAGTCCTCGATCTCCTGTGCCACACCCATGCAGTAGTCGACGCGACTCATGTCATGTCATGTCATGTCATGTCACTTGGCACCGCATTATGCAAACTGCAGCGCGAAATTTGACCGCGGGTAGTTGAACAGTATAGTCACGAGCCCAGAAACCCAGAAACTATGACCAACGTCTACACGCAGACATCGCCCCAGCAGCGGAAGCAAGCGGGCTCCTGCGCCAGCGCCAAAGCCTTCTGGGCGAGGCGCTCGTGCAAGACCCGGGGGAACCTCACCTTGAAGTCGTCGGAGGGCGGGTTCTCCTTCAGCATCTTGTCGATCTCACCCTTGAGCTCTTTCGGGGCGCTGCTGGCGCTGTTGGCCTTGGAGATGAAGTCGTGGACCTTCTGCGCAGTGTCCTTGGAGAACTTGTAGGCGTCCTCAAAGGGGGCGCTGTCGGAGACCTCCTTGTCCTCGGCCTCGGCCACGCGCGCCTTCATGGACGCGTACATCCAGCGGCGGTCGGCGTCGCGGTCGATCTCCACGACGCGTCGCTTCAGGCCGAAGTCGTAGGAGACCAGGGCCGCCTTGTTCTTCAGAGCATCGTAGTCAGGAGTCCGCTGCTCCGCGTCCTGCATCAAGGGTACGGCAGTCTGGAGTCCTTTCTGTGATTGCTACAAGAACATGCGGGAGATCCCGGGGCCTTCTTGTAGTCATCCTTCTCCTGAGCGCTTGACTCAACAGCAAATTTTAGAAGATGGGGAAAGCCCGAGCACGGCTTCGTAATTAAAAAGATAAGGCCTCTTTACATTCTGCAAGGCAACGTGCATGATTCCGGAGCTTTCGTGGCTTTCCTGCACAAGAACTACCCGTGCATCCGGGCATCGTTGTCGAAGAACTTCTTGAGGACCTTGGCGAAGGACTGGATCTTCTCCTCTGGCAGGTCCTGGCTGAAGGTGTCGCTCTTGCGGAACTTCTTGTCGAACTCGTTCTGCGCCTGCTTCAGGATCAAAGCTTGCTCATCCTTGCTCAGGGAATCCTTCCAGGCGTAGAAGTCATCCTTGAAGCCTCGCATGGCCGTTCGGCTCTGCCGCGAAGACGCCGGCGCAGTGCCGGTCAGGAAGGAGGTCCTCAGGTCTTGCGACGTGATACTCGACTGCTCAGGACTATCCGCGACATTCCGCTAGCATCGCTACTCTTTTTGCACCCATGTTCCCACGTAAGATGTCCAACATGGGCAACCTCACCTGCTTATTTGAAGTGCATTTGAAGAGCCCCATGTTCAGCCACACCGTGATTTGCGTGCCCAAGGCTCTGCTGGGATCCCAGGAGCGAGACCAGAAGCCAGGACGAGGCAGCGAGCAGCAAAGACGGCAAAATCCGAGACTGCGTCATCCCTGACCTTCGCGACAAAACGAAAAATGTCGAATGGGAACTTTGCAGCAACCCGCTGCCTGGGGACGCGGGAATTTGCGACCCCCTTGGGTGCTTGGCAGAACTGTCCACGCAGCATTCCGTGGAGGGGGGGGGGGGGGGTTTGGGAGGGACATGCAACCATCAAAACAGTTTATGGGGTTTGGGGTTTAGGAATACTGAATATTTTTATCAACTGCTACAGTGAACCGCCCTCCAGGACTTGCAGCCTCCTACCAACGTCTTTGCGTGCTTAGCGAGTCGCTGCCTCATCGTTGGCACATGAGTCCGCGATGAAATTGCGCCTTCTACGTAGAACATTCCTGGTAACATGCTCCAGTATAACACGAAGCTACATGAGAAATCACGGCAGCTACTAGCTTCGACCCTTCCCACTCCACAGCGAACCGATGTGGGGGAGCCATCCCGCTGTTTTGTCGCGGAACTCTGCCCGGAATTCTCTGGGGGTGGGCGCTCCAAGGATACTCGGCGGGTCATTTTGCGGGATGATCGTTTCTTTGGGCCTGGATGTTGAAGGTAACGGAATGAAAGCTTGAGGTGTGCTCGAACAAGAGGCAACCCTATGCTAACTGACAATGTTCTAGTTCAAGCAGCCGCAGTGTGGTGGTTTCTCATTAAGCAAACGTGTTCAAACCTAAGCCCTAAACCCTATAAGGACTGCGAGCCGCTAACGACTAGACATGACTGGCAGAAGTGTTTTTGAATCTAACACCAAATCCAGAACGGATTATGTTCATCGATTTCTGTTGCTTAACCCCGACATAGAGCAAGTAGGAAGTTGTGACTTTGTAGATAGGAAGAAAAGGTGAGAATCTATACTACGAGGAAGACGGAAGGTGTAAGTAAGTCTGGATGTACCAATTGGGATCTGTTTGGCAAGCCGGCGGGTCCTCCTCAATTACAAGCTTCTACTCGCTTTGGCCAAGGAGCTGATCCAGAAGCCGGGGAATTTACCGGGCGAGGTCCTGCTGGGCACTTGGGCCGAGATGCCTGCAAAAGTCCACGCACCACGCCTCTTGCCTGAGCTGCGAGCCCTGTTCGGCCAGAAGCCCTTGCCAGAAAACAAGAAGTCGGCTTCCGAAGCTTTACACTGCAGGCCCCTCAAAGCCAGAGATGTGAGCCTTCCGACCTCCTCCCCTTGCAAGATCCCTGCTCCAAGAACCTGTGGCGACATGTGCCAACGAAATGAAAGATGCATCCTGACCCAAGCGTGGGGAAGAGTCGAGCGGAACACACGTTTTCCAGCAATTGCCGAGTCTTGCAAGCTAAAAACTGCGCTCGAGCGCATGCATGAAGAACTCATGAGGCACCCATTGCATCATGGCAATATCGTTGGTGCCTCAAGTTTGCTAGCACGTGCTACTGCTACGGCTTCTATGGAGCTTGTTGCGTCCATCTTCGAAACAGCAGATTATACGTTCCAAAGCGGCTGTGATGTGCTTGATTACTTGATTACCCATCAAGGGGACAAACCGAGGCAAGTTAGCTGGCCCTTCTACTTACTTTCCACGTGCCTACATGTATGCGCAAAAGTTCGGACTCAACCGGGGCGAATAATCAGCTGGCGCAATCTTTGGTGTGGGTGGGGGCTGGCGGTAGGCTGTTAAGACTTAGGTGACTTGGCTCTAAGGGTCTCCCGAGTCTTTTTTTGGTTGATAGTGTAATGTAAGCTTAAGACTCCAGCATCTCGCGGGCCGCTGACCTACGCCGCCACATGGGCCAACTTCCCGCCTCAACGGCGAGCCTCCTCAAGCTGCTTGCGGAGGCGATCCACCTCGTCCTAGCCCAACGCTGCAAGTTCATGTGACAAAGATCGAACTTGCATCACGAAATTGGTTGAGTTGTTGTGCCTCGGGTGTTACTTATATCTCCACGTTATGGTGTCCTTTGGCTCTCGATTTGGGGGCTTTCGGTATGGCCACGCGACTAGTGGCTCTCTGGCTAGTGTGGCCTTAGTTCCTTAGATGCTTGATGAAGGGTCCTGGTCTTCGGCGAGCGCCGCTTCCTGCTGCTTGGCCCAGCCGCTCAGGGACTCCTGGACATCCACTCCGGCTTGCTCGTACCTTGCAACTCAGCGCTTTGCTGCATGATCCCGGAGGCATGAGGTCAGGATGTCCTGCCCCCCCCCCTCCCTCCCTAACAGCCCCAACACTCGGGACCATTCATTCTTTCTTGGGCCATGGGGTCAGGCCCTATTTGCTCCGTCCAACCACGTCAAATGTTTGGATCCAGGGCGCTCTTTGTTCCACTCGTCGAAGGCCTTCTCGGCCTCCTTCACGGTCTCGAAGACGCCCAGGAGGTACTTGTTGCCGAAGGAGTCGATCGCCTCGGACTTGTAGAGCTTCTCGGCGGTGCCCCAGTTGTGCTTGAACCTGGCGTTCAGGATGCGGGAGTTGCTTTTAACATTTCACCTTCTCTGAGAATTGAAAAGATGGCCAGTTGCTAAGGCTCCCGCTCACCCTCGAGGACGGCAGGGATCTTGGCCAAGTCGGCGAGCATCTCCTCATCCAGGGGCGGCATCGGCGTGTCGGAGTACTTGGGCATGACCTTGAAGATCTCCTTGACGATGTCCGCCTGGCAAAAAGCACAACAACGACACAGCTACAACGCTCAGCTCCATGCCCACCGCGCGCGCTCCCAGCCTTCGTCTTGCCGGCCACCTTCTTCTGGGAGCGGAAGAAGGCCTTCAGGTCCTCCACCTTCTTCTCGTTGGCCTCCCGGGCCTCGTAGTACGGCCCGATGAGATCTGTGGCCGTCTTCAGGAACTCCTCCGGCGCAGTCCTGGTGTTGAACTCCTTGACCTCCGCCTCGGAATGGTTCGCCTTGTAGTCCTCGATCTCCTGTGCCACACCCATGCAGTAGTCGACGCGACTCATGTCATGTTATGTCACTTTGGCACTCTCCGCATTATGCAAACTGCAGCGCGAAATTTGAGAGCGGGTAGTTTGAGCAAACCTGAACACTACAGTCACGAGCCCAGAAACTATAACCAACGCCTACACTGTCTACACGCACATGTGCACAGCTGGCGGAAGCAAGCGGGCTCCTGCGCCAGCGCCAAAGCCTTCTGGGCGAGGCGCTCGTGCAAGACCCGGGGGAACCTCACCTTGAAGTCGTCGGAGGGCGGGTTCTCCTTCAGCATCTTGTCGATCTCACCCTTCAGCTCTTTCGGGGCGCTGCTGGCGCTGTTGGCCTTGGAGATGAAGTCGTGGACCTTCTGCGCAGTGTCCTTGGAGAACTTGTAGGCGTCCTCAAAGGGGGCGCTGTCGGAGACCTCCTTGTCCTCGGCCTCGGCCACGCGCGCCTTCATGGACGCGTACATCCAGCGGCGGTCGGCGTCGCGGTCGATCTCCACGACGCGTCGCTTCAGGCCGAAGTCGTAGGAGACCAGGGCCGCCTTGTTCTTCAGAGCATCGTAGTCAGGAGTCCGCTGCTCCGCGTCCTGCGCTCAGGGTCGGTGTCCAAGGACGTGGGGAGGCTTCTGGGCTTCTGCATAGCACACCTACCGGCAGCGCGTCACCTACAGGACAAAGTGCAGCCTGAGCGCTTCTGCTCCCGCAGGCACTAGCTGGGTACTAGTTACGTGGGCAACATGGGAAGCTCCCTTATGTCCTTCTTGTAGTCATCCTTTTCCTCGGTGCTCAGAGAAAACACAAATTACTTGGACAGCACTACAGACGTCTGAAAATGCTGGAAAAAGCTGGAAACATTCCACTAAGGAACTTCCTCTGCAGCTACTGCGTCAACCTTTACAGGCAGCCCAGCGTCGTTGTCGAAGAACTTCTTGAGGACCTTGGCGAAGGACTGGATCTTCTCCTCTGGCAGGTCCTGGCTGAAGGTGTCGCTCTTGCGGAACTTCTTGTCGAACTCGTTCTGCGCCTGCTTCAGGATCAAAGCTTGCTCATCCTTGCTCAGGGAATCCTTCCAGGCGTAGAAGTCATCCTTGAAGCCTCGCATGGCCGTTCGGCTCTGCCGCGAAGACGCCGGCGCAGTGCCAGTCAGGAAGGAGGTCCTCATGTCTTGCGACTCGAAACATGATGCCGTGCTCGACTGCGCAGGACTACATTTCCGCTAGGGCCGCTAGGGTCGCTACTCTCTGCACCATGTTCCGACTTGAGATGTGCAGGATGGGTAACCTCACCTGCTTACAGTAGTTGAAGCGCATGTGAAACGCCCCATTGCGTGCCAAAGGCTCTGCTGGGATCCCAGGAGCGAGACCAGAAGCCAGGACGACGCAGCGAGCAGCAAAGACGGCAAAATCCGAGACTGCGTCATCCCTGACCTCCGCCA